TCTTAGGTGTTCAGTTAAAAATAATAGAGTAATGGGGGAAGATAAATTTTTATATATCTATGAAGAATATTTTAATTGTCTTTATTATTATATAAGTTATTTGATATTTTGGATTTTTTATAGATTTTATAAATTTCGATTCTTGTTGAATCTTTCAATAATTAAAACGTTAATAAATAATTTTGAATATTTAAGAAAGTTAAGCATCCAAACATTAATTGAAAAGGCTATTAAAAATGTATGTTTATTTAAATTTTAAATTTAAATTAAATTGGCAAATATTATAAAACAAGAAATAATTCATAATTAAAATATCAATCCATTATTAATCCAGTATTAAACGAAAAGCATTTCATAAAAATCGTGCATTTTGTACCTTAAAAATGGATTTTAATCTTTATCGATGTTATAAGTCTGTTTAAATTTCAAAATTGTTTGACACACAAATAAATTAAATAATTAATTATTTCATCTTTTAATTAATTATGATTTACCATTATTATATTAAAATGTCTCGTTATTATAAAAAAATATATGGCTAGTATAAAATTGTTTCATTCAGATAATAACGTTCAATATTGAACAATATTGATAAACAGATGAAACGAATTTATTAAATTCAATATATATGAATCTCATATAAAATATATTGTTTATCAGAAAAACTCATATAAAATTAATGGTTATTTTAACATATTAAAATATATTAACTTTTAACTTTCTTTTATCTTTCAAAAAAATATATAGTTGATCTGTGATGAAAATTTCGAGTATTTTTATCAAATTATTTTATATACTCGTTTCCTTTAATCGAATATAAATAAAGGATATCGATATCGATATAACGTATATCATATAACAAAATGGAAATTTGTAAAAATTTCAAATCAAAGTTAAAAACCATTTGTATCGAAACATTTTACAGTAATTGTGCAAGTTTGTTGATTTCAGTTTTATAGAAACTTCGTGTTATTGCTGTTTCAAGCCAAGTTCGGCCAAGTTTATATTCATAAAGAAAAGTAGTCAGAAAACTACGTTTTCGCAAGTTACACTTTCGAAAGAAGTAGAACATTGTTACTTTAAAAATTTGATCAAACCAAAGAGAACGGAATGATAAATCAAATCCTTTTATAATAAAACGATATTCAATTTTCAACAAACAATTTATCCAACGTTCCATGATCATACCACCAGAACAGAAACTTAACAACAACTCGACTGATATTAATCGCGCGACAATCTGATTCAGAACAGAAAAATCAAATCAAATCTTTATTTATATTTCCAAATATCAAATCATCCCTTTCGACACTTCCCAATTCTCGAAAATATCTTAATCTCTCGATATTTCCCAATTTCCTTTTCTCGATAACATCTCAACCCTCTAATCTCCCCTCCTCGATACTTCCCAACCTTCAATTTTCCCTTCTTCAACAATATCACTCCATTCCCGCGACCCCTCGATATTTATTGTTTCCCCTCTACATCTTCGTAACACAAACGGTGTTATTTCAGTGCTTTCAACCCCACGACCCACGAGTCCATATTCGATAATCGAGCTTTCCTCTCGAGGCGCGAAAAAAAGGCGCGAAAGCGAGAGAAAGAGAGAGAAAGAGAAAGAGAGACGACTGAAAATCGTGGTCGTCGGTCGCCGCGCAAAAAGGATCATCTTCCTCGTAAGGAAGGTGGCTTCGAAAAGGAAAGAAGCAGATGGTGGCCTTCTGGTGGCTTCGAAAAAGGCTGGAAGGAATGGGTCTTCTCCCGGTAGAGGAGAAGAAGAAGTGGCGTCCGCCTATTTTATCTCGAGGATTTACAGCCCCCTCCCCTGGCCAACCTCTTCGCCCGATTGTCCGTGAATTCGAACGGTTATATCATTCGGAATTTCATTTCTGTCCAACCGCGGAACATTATCGTCCGTTTGTTCTGTCGCACACGAGTTCTGAGAGATTTTCCACTCCGCCACCCTCATAATTTCTCCCCTCGAACTTACCTCTCTCTCCCTCCCTCCCTTCCTTCACCGCCAATACCTCGAAACGACGTACTTAATAGCCAGCGAAAGACCGGTCGTATATTTGTCGAAAATTCGGAATCGCGCCGATACGAGGGAAACTGGGAGTGTGGTTATCGTGTGGTTTTAGCCCAGTTTACCGATATATACCGATATTACTTTACGTGGAACGGGGTAGAGGGAAATCGAAGGATGAAAAATTGTGAGGTTAAGGTAGAGATAACGAGGTAACTTCTACACGAATACTCTTAGACGAATTTCTATTATCTGAATTTGAACGTTGCGTAATTGTATAATTTCGGTTAATATCGAGCGGATATTTTACGAGGTATTTTGCTCTTATCGACAGACTTATATTATCTCTGAGCTGATAAGAATAGGTAATGAAAATGTTAATGGGTTAATGAAAATGTTAATGGTAATGTCTATATTATTACCGAATACTCGGTTATCCGATTTCCTTTGTCCTTCTATTACTAATTTCGTTTTGTAATTGCTTCTGTTACACGAATAAAACTTGTTAAACAGTGGAAATTCCTTGTAAAAATTGTTTCTATAATAAAGAAAGCACATAGAACTAGATACAAATGTAATTTCAAATTCAAAGTTTAATTCATGTCTAAGTTTGAGAGACTCTCATTTGATTTTTTGTATAAGTTTTAAACGTATGAACTAGTAAAAGTTAATTTGCGTTGTCATAAATAAAAATTTATAAAACTATCTTCTTATATAGTAATTTAAAATATTGGAAACAAATTTAAGTTTGATAATTTTTTAGGAGAGTTTCCAAGATTTTACAAAAATCGTAACCCATAATTCCGACGTTCCAATTTGCTTAATCAATTCACTTTTTTAAATTACAGGTGGCCACACGTTATATAGTTCAATATTGCATCAAACCAGAGGCAGTTTGGCTATCATAACGGATAATTAATCCGACAGATTACTTGCCAATTGCAATTGCCAATGTGTCCAGATTAATTAAAGATCAACGTTTAATGGATGAACTGGTCGAAGATCTCGTAACGAACGTGTTTATGGATCGTTGTGCAAAACGTGGGATTCAACATTTTCGCCAAGTATTGTTCCATTAACAACCTGCAGCTTTGTTCGTCGACTTCTTCGTCGGCAATTATCACCGATCTGTGAAAGCTCGTTCGTGAAATCAGCAATGTCTGCCGTTTTCATAATAGAAGTCGAACAAGAACCCACGTAACAGTAATAACATTCTACGACGTTACATATTACCAAAAATAACGTGCACGAAATCATTTTGGACATAGTTTCTAAAATCGAATATTCACTTGTTTCTTACGTGTGTATTGTATCACGATTGCGTGTGTTTGATTATATGATATCATGACTTTCTTATCAAAATAAAGGATGCGATTTATTATCGATTTGTGTGGAAAAGTGATACTCTCTTTTATGACGTATCCTTTGGGTATTATCCGGTGATACAATACGATGTTCTACATCTTCGTTATGTATTCGTATCGAAACAAAGAATACGAATTATCGATACTCGTGAAGTTGGTAAAAGTATGTATTTGTTACGTATCTTTGTGCAATATCGTGGTTGAATGTGGATCGAAAGGCATCCGTTAATACGTTGTTATATATCAAAAGATACATAACGAAGTCGATCTGTTATTATTATTGTCATATCATCGAAGAAATGACACGATATCCAATTATCTAATTGAAAGCTAGTGTATAGTTTATATATAGGGAAGAGAATTTTTCTGCTTTTATTCCATTGGATAAATTGTTATTGGTAACCAGTCGAGAAATTAGAGCTTGAAATAATGGTAGCCAACAATAAGAGACAGAAGTTGGTTGAGCACAAAACTGCAAACAAGAGCAATAGATTACGATTCTTTGTGAAATACAATGACGTTGAATTACAAGAGTTAAAGAAAAGTCAATATTTCCAACGTTATAGGATCAATCTCGCTTTTGTACTGTTTCATACAATGACATGAAGAATGAATCCTGTTGGTCTTTATTATTCTTTCTCACTTCCCTTTAGCATTGTTCATCCATCATCAAAGTAAATATAAAAAGGATAACTAAATGATGGAAGATAGATATAGATTTTACTAGATTTCAAAGTATTTTTATCTCTTCCATTTCTTTTATTTTTAAATGTCTGGTCTATTCCTTGACTTGATTTCTCTGACCTATTAAAGGGTTTTCTCATCTCACAGTAATCATACCTTTTATTCCAGATTGTATTCTTCCTATTCTTTTCATTTCTTTTTTTTCTTTTTGTTTTTTATATTTTATGTAATATTTAATTTATTTTATTATATTTCCCTTTTTTCATTCTTCATCTATTATCTCTCTTCTTTCTTCTATTTCTTATACTTCTTTTCTCTATTCTGTATTATCTCTCTTCATCCTCTTCTATATTTTTTTTTCTTTTATCTCTTCTTTTCAACGATCTCCAAGGATCTTAGTATACGAATATGAAAAAATTCCACAATTACACAAATGTATTTGAAATATAGTATTAACTGTAATAATTATCTTATTATTTTAACCCTTTTCCTCTTTAAAATAACGTTAAATAAGAATATTTTTTGGTAGAAAGACTACACGTGTAATATCCATAATGAGAAAATATTATAAATAAAATTGTAACAATCTTTTCGCATTCTATACTTGATGCATATTCATATTTTGTACATTCAAATCACGTCGTTGCCATATTTCGTTGCTATCACGGAGCTTTGTAGAACGACCAAAACTATTATCCCACTTAAGTACTTAATCGTGAAACTTAAACGTGCGAAGAAAACATTGGAAACGAGAATTTCTCAAATTAACCCGGGATAATTATTGGAAATTGATCAACGATACATCGCTCCATCCATCGTATTATTTTTAAATTACATATTTTGAACTGAAATTTTTATCTCCCCTTCGAAAAGAAAAAAGAAAAAAATAACACGAGGATCATACGAAAACAATATCGTTAGGTATAAGGTAGATACTTATTATTTACTGTCAGGTATGCTGTACATAATATTTCTTTTGCCTTACAAATATTATATAAAATTACAGTCGATCACGGAGAGTAACCTCGCACACAGTCTCTCGCGGACGCATCATATGATATAACCACACGCAGACAGGCGACACGTACACGCGCACACATGCACACATAAACGCGAAACACCCCCCTCTCTAGAGCTCGAGTAAACGTTATTACAGATTCGCCGGATGAACTCGGTTAAACCTTCCCTCCTAAATTCACGACAGACACGACGTATGCAAGTGTAGCAAACGGTCGTAACTTGGGGAACGCGCGCGTCACTCGCAATCCTCCTCGCGATCTCCCACACGCCGACTATCTTCCCTTTCGATCCAACCTCGACTCGTATATCGTTGTTGCGGAAAAGAAAATTCTTCGAAATCACGATGACGACGAAATATCGATAATATATATATATATATAATCGTTCGACAAGCGGATGAATTTAATTTAATATTCGAAATTACACGTAATGCGCGTTAAATCTTGGGGTCATAATCTCTCTCTTGGTCGATCTTTATTTTTTGTTCTTTCTTTTTTTCTATCTCGATTTCTCACAGGCAAAATCCACTGAAAAATAAAACCTTTAAAGATGTTTAATTCGGCTCGTTAATCTTCGAAATACTACGTCTAGCTTCGAAAAGGAAAGTTTTTAAAGAAGGAACAAAAAAAAAATCGAGTGGAAAATCCCATTTTCCGGTAAATCCCGACGGAGAAAAGAACAAGTGCCATCTATTCGGCAGACACGTAACAGAACCGTTCCCAGTGTATTCTGCGTGGGAGAATCGAAACAAAAAGGCAGGAAGATACGGGATAAAAGGGGGAAAAGGGAGCACGTTCGTTGTCCCTCGAAACGAGGACCATCGTTGTTGGGACGTAACTGTGGCGGAAAACGAAGAGACTCGTATTTCGAGAATGTACAAGACCATCAGAGGCTCGACTCTTATTCGCATTTTATTGCCAACTTCGATGGCCGTGGAGAGGAAAGAAAAAAGGGGTAATAGTAAAAAAAAAAAAAAAAAAAAACAAAATGTCGCGCGTTACGTGTGTATCACCGTGCATCGTTTTTTTCGTTCGTTGCCAATATCCCTATGGCTAAGACTACTCGTTTCACTTCGATACTCGCTAATCCCCACTGATTAGGGTGTGAAAACGTGCGATCGAGCGTAAATCGAGAGATAGAACCGTCTCTCTTCGAGAGAGAGAGAGAGAGAGAGAAAGAGAAAAAGAAAGAGAGGTCTCTTCGATGATCTGTGAAGAATCGAATGGACGAAACGAATGGAAAATCGGAAACCTGTGAGATCAAAGGGGAAGGGGCTCGCGCTCTCTTTGGATTCGCCGCGCAATTATCCGCACGCGTGACCAGTGAAATCACGCTCTTAATACGGCCGAGGATTATCCATTGAATCCATTGAGACTGTCATACTGTCGATCTCCAAGTTCCACGTGGTTGGAACTGTTACAAGCGCAAGTTTTTCTCGGTCTCGGGAACTGAAACTCGTTCCGCAATTACTCTGTTAGGGAGTTCACATCGTGAGGGAAAGTTCGAGTCGTGAAAAGGAACGTGATGGTTGGTTACCTGTACGAGACGCCACGTAATTCACATTTCGTGAGTACAACAACACGAAATGCTTGTCGCAACACGCATTTTATCCGCTTTAACAAGAATCGAGTAGCTTTTCATTTTCGCGAATTTTCTTCCTCGGATATAATTATCGTCCCCAACGGTTGGAAATAGCAGCGAAAACTCGTCGAATCCGATCCGACGTTTTTTTTTTTTTTTCACGTTTCAACGCCACGCACGCACGCAACGCAACGCATCGCATCGCATCACACAACAACGCAACCAGGCAACGACAAACAGGCAGCCGAAAAGATGAACACGCCAAAGAAGATTTGAGCGCAGCGGTACGGTACACACTACTAATATCGAGAGGGTAGCCGCGGTTGATCAGACGCAGAGAAAGAAGAGGGAAGAGAAACGAAAGAACGTGGGATGGAGGAAGAACTGAGAAGAGTGTGGATGAGCGTGGCAGGTTTTTTTTTTTTCTCGTGGAATTGTTTCAGAATATCGTTCTGTTCCGCGGAAGCTCGTACGTGGAAAAGAACGGAGATTAACAGGCTATATATATATATTTAAAACTCATGGCTACATGGAACGAAGAAAAGAAGTGGAAGCTACGTTTACTGCTGTGAATTTCTCCGTTCTTTTCGACCCTTGCGTGTCTATTATTAGTTTTATACAGATATACATATATGTATATATATGTATATATATATATGTGTGTATATATATATATATATGTATATTTATATATATATATATATATATGTATGTATGTATGTATTTTCGAAAAGCGCGCCATCTCGCGCCGGCGCATGCACGCAACGACGCGTCGATCGCGCGTGCGCACTCGCGCTGTTTAAATCGAGCGACAAAAGAATTAGCCGCTCAACAAGACTTTATTTACGCACTCCTACACGATTTCTGCACACATACTTCTACGTATTTATATATATAATCATATATTTATATATGTATATTTATATCATCCTTCGTGCGACACACCATCACGCCTGCTCTCTCTATCTCCGTTTATCACACGTACACGCTCACGCTTTTTTTTTGTTCGAAGAAAAATAACAGGTATGTATATTATATATGTATAAATACAATGAACGGGATGTCCAAACTCGTCGCGCATTGGACAAAATATATCCATTGTTGAGGAAGGAAGAAGTTAAAAGATAACGCGCTTTATCGATCAATGTTCTCTTACGCAATGGAGCGCAAGATCGTACGATCCAATTAAACACTTCTCTTTAGAAGTTTGGAGTAAGCACGACGAATGTGGATACACCGATCGCGCGATCGTGATCTTTTAGATTTTACGCCAAGACACAAATGGGAAGAGCGTTTCAATGTCCCGACGTTTCGGTGTATTATAATCGTTGAACATCGCATGAATCTGTTCCTTTGCCCCCATCCCCCCTCCTCCATCCCAGATCGATACCAGACACCTCGAGTTTTCGGTGTTTCGAGCACCCCCCGTCGACTTTCCTCGACGATCGTGACACGGTATCGAATCGCGCACACTCGAGATTGAATGGCGATGAATACTCACGCACGATGCTCGTAAAAACGAAGAGAAGGCCGCGTCTGTACTGCACCTACTACGAGCGAAAGTACGTCCTTTCGTTGTCGACGATCGTTCGGTCAACGCGTCAACGATCGCCGACCAAAGATCGGTACGGATGAGGGGCAAAGGGTAGGCTTCCTCCGCGACAACGCGAACGTTGTCGGCTCTGTAACTGTAATAAGCGTATTTAGAAGAATTCCACGATAGAATTCGGCCGAGAAAAACAAGGACGATAATTTCTCTCGTCGCAGTCGCAGCTTCATTGGACGATCTTTTTTTTTTTTTTCTTTTTTTTTTTCCGTTTCATTTCGCAGAGATTTTTTTTTCGACGAGCAAAATCGACGCGAGCTCAGGGTTCTGGTGAGGTTTATTTGTTAATTGATGGGCGAGGCCATCCAAGTTTGAAACGTCGTGAACCGAAGTCCACAGAAGACAAAAATATAGAATGGAGTGTGACGAGAAGATCGTGGTCGGCATACGCCGCGCGCGATCGAGCTAATTAGGAATTTTTCGGGGCGATATTGTCATGAAGAGTTCCGTTTTTTTTCTTCTCGCGCCTATGTACAAACACAGATCGTGCGGCAGAGTAGAAGAATCTCCAATAAATCTTATTCGTTCTTCGACGCGACCGACTTGAAGATCGATCGCTCCGCAATATCTAATCAATGACTCGATTATGAATCGTGAATACACACGGTTAATAATTTCGACGACGCTCGACACAGCGGAAAACCAAATTTCATCGATTATTCTGCGCAAGATCGGTAACCGATCTCGAATAACGTGAAATTTTCGCTTTACGAGAAGACGAGGAGTCGCCGAGAAAATAACCGGAATGTCACGTTCCATATTGTCGTCGTTCTTTCCAATCCTTGTTCGCTTTCCTCCCTTCACGATCGAAGTGGATGATATTTTTGTGCGCTCGATACTCGCGCGAAGCACCTTTTTTTTTTTTTTTTTTTTTTTGCACAATAGAAGCGTAATGCGTTTGCGTTAAAACGATCGTCTACAGATTAGTTTAACGATTAAGTTCTTACTCATCGCTTAACCTGGTTAAAAAGACTAAATCCCAGCTGCGCCACGGTGGAAAAACTCTAACGTGATTTACAAGCTGTAGAACCGTGGCCGGCCTCCCTAATAATAAATTTCTCGAAGGATAAAAAAAAAAAAAAAACAGAAACGTGCGCTTCTCTAAGGGAGGACGAAAGAGTCAGAAGACTGATTTAACAATTGATCTCGATAAAAAGCGATAACAGACTAGGCGAAACGAAAATCAAACCTACTTTTTAATCAACCCTTTTTTGCCTCGTAAACAACAAACATTCGCCCGAAGAAATCTTTACAGAACACTTTCTAGATACTGAAATTAACAGTAACGTTTTCAGCATAAAGAACGTTTAACGCTAACCAATGTGTTCTTCTCTTATCGTCCATATCTATACACGCCACGTCCATTATCTATCGATAAAAAAAAAGAAAAAAAAAAAAAGAAAAAGAACGAATTTCACGAAGAAGAGGAATAAAAATAGAAAAATATAATCCGTATGATCCGTAATTAGTTGATTTGATTAATATTTATTGAAACTAATTAACAGATATTGAGCTGATAATAAGCTTCTTAAAAGCTTCGCCAAGTATTATCATTTAAGAAATAATTGAGGAAAATTGTCCTGGTACAAAGTAGCAGGTTGCTAGGAAACTCGAATCGATATTTGAGAAGAACGCTATAGAACGTAAAAGAACAAATTCCAGTGTATAACGTGAAACTGTAATGTGAAACGTAAAAGGATGATTAATACTGATCAAGATAAAAGAACCTTTATCGGATTAATAACACGCAAGTTTTTCTTCGATCGATAATGGACACGCACGTGCATTCATGTAACACGTAATGCTTCTTTTCACGATACTCAATGTCGATGATTCGAGAGCACGATGAACCAAGAACTTGTTGTTGGTTTCGATCATATCGAGAAAAAAATCATTCGACTCAATCGACCAATCGTCGTTTCGAATGGTCATCGTGACCAACATCGTAGAAGCCTCGAACTCGAGAAAATGGTATAACATTTCAACATTTAAAAAAAAAAAAAAAAACACGCTACGATCCGATTCACGTAATAGAACAAAACATATGTCACAACGATCTTATTTCTAATAAGTGTAAAAATCGATCAACCGTAAAACGAAGAAATTTACGCTCACCCTACAATTTCGTAAAATCATCGAAGATGAGCGTTAGAAGAAGAGCGTACGTAGATACATTTAAAACAATTGAGATTCTTGATCGATCATTTTTAAAACGTACGTAATCACGTAAATTTCGCGAGTCGATTGAGGAAGAAAAGGAGAAACAGATAAAAAGAAGAAATGGCGATTATTTTGAAAGAAGTCGCGTGCCTTTTTTCCAAATTTTCCAACTTAATCCTAATAGTTACTTGGGTAAAAGTCACGCGTGGCCCGATAATTTAAGGAACGATTCGATTCGACCTGTTCGAATCGCTCGATTTATACGCTGCTAAAAGATATTTCTACACAGCTTGGAACATGTATGTGTACCATATACGTGTATAAATATTCCCTCCTTCCTTTTACGTATATACAGAGAGATCCTCTCTCTATTCGTGGCCGGTCGTTTGATTAGATTTAAAGCGCGCTAACGAAACGTTGGTGAAGTCGAGCGATTAAACGAGGAAAGAAAAAAATTTCGAATTAAAAGTGATCGAATACAAAGTATTATAAAATATTTTAAATTAAATATCTCACGAAAGGAAGATGATTTTAAACGATATTGATAGAAATAAAAAAAAAAAAAATGAAGTATTAAATTTTTGAGGAAAATCGTGACGCTTCGTCGTTGAATTAAAATTAAAATGATACAATAGGGTTTTTGATTAAATGCTTGAATAAAAAGCTTGAATAAATCAGAAATGTTCGAATAGAAGTGACTTTTTTCTTTCTTTCTTTCTTTTTTCTTTTTTTTTTTTTTTTTTTTTTTTTTTTCCCACTTTTCGCGAAACGCGACCTCGAAATTTTTTGTTCTACCGCTTCACTCGAACAACTTCCTGACTCTTTCAATTGTTTAGTATTCGAGTCTGGCGCGAGGACGTACGAAAGAAAAACAGACCAACTATATATACTATAGCGGTGTATTAAAAAAGGGGGAGATGAGCATAAAGAAAGCGAAAACTAAAAAAAATAAAAAAAAAAAAAAAGATGGACGACAAGGAAATTAAAACGAAATCGTAATAAATCTCAAGTAAAAAAAAAAAAAAAAAAATCGTGTGTTGAGTTCGATGTATACAAAAAAAATCTTCATATATACATAAGTACTCGTGTATACACAAGTTTTCCCCATGTGTAAGTGTGTGTATATACCTATATATTAATACATGTTCGCTCGAACTCGTTATGTATATATGTATATATATATATATAAAGTCTCTCTGTATGAAAAAAAATAGCTTAAGTAAAAACTGATATGAAAGAAAATAATTGGAAGGCCCTGTGTATATGTGTGTTTGTGTTCTATATACTTACTTTATCGACAGAATATAGGCATGTGTAAATTCTACACGGTGAATATCGACAGTAGAAATATAATCTTGGTAACGACTCTCGTAAAGTTAACAATAATAACAAATTATTACGAGATATTCATTATCGCATATATCGGGTGACTCGAGAAGTTTCAGCCGTATTATATTTATTTGAATATTTTTACCTTTCGTAAATCAGCTACACAAGTTCCGGTAAAAGGCGAGCTTGACAGATTCATTGCAACATGCCAATTTTATCGATCATATTCATGTATTATCAAAAAAACAGAATTATTGTTGTGACGAAAAAAATCAGGACTGCGACCTAAAAATAACATTCTTTAATAAGTAAAAAAATTTAATGACATTCATATACAATGCAAAGTAATATCAATGAATATTTTGATAAATAATTAAAACAGATTTACATTGATATGTTTTTTGCCAAAAATAAAAAGAAATTATAAAAGGATTCGATGATTACGCTTTTAACAGGATTCAAATCATCCATCATGTATTGATCCAAGCAACGGTATAAAAATCGGCAAGAACTTCTCGGATAACCTAATAATATGTACAAGTTATAATTTGGTTTTTTACTTCTTTCCGCGTGATTCGATAACACTATTGTATCGCGCGCGCGAGTATTCTATGTATAAAAAAAAAAAAAAAAGAAAAAAAGTGAATGAAATATGCTTGGTAAAAACGAAACCTGACGAAGTGCCTTACTAATTCTCCTTTTCTCAAGTCTTCGATCAAATACATTGTTCTTTTCACTTTTCATCGCCGTTTCTTTCATCATTCTGTTAATAAAAAGAAACGAATGAGAATTTTCGTTTCTAAGCTTGGCGATTGTCAAAAAACAAAAAAAAAAAAAAAAACCAGCATAAACTTGCGCTTCTGTTAGGAAAAAAAGAAGTTACTATTGGTACACACAACAACGCAACAGTCCATAAAATCTGTAAAAAGAATAAAGAACAAGAATGGATCGTTTTTAAACGAACCGATAAAACCTGGATAGAACGAGAATTTAAATGCGACTAAACATTCGTAACAATAACTGATGAACATTATTCAGTTTTCTTTCCCATTTTGTATTATAAGATAACTATGATCCTCCGTGTCAATCATAGAAAAAAATGAAATATGAGATATATCGAAACAGAGAAGATATTCTATCATAGAATATCTGTAAAATATAACTTTTTTTTTTTTAATGGAGTTTTCTAAACATCTAATCTGATTGACAGTCTTCGATAAGAGGAATGCGTTCCAGAAGAAAAATAGCTTATAAAATGAATATTACATACACTTCTCGTGAAGTTGTATTTTCGTGTATTTTGTTGCAATCGTTTTTTTAGAAATCTCTGAAAGCTTTGCGACAGAGTGAAAAATAATATATATATGCGTGTGTGTTCATATATATATATATATGTTTGATCGAATTATCAGCTTAATTTCGCGTGGAACAAATTACTAGACCTACCTAATATCGTGTTTCTACTTATTTAAATTACTAGCGGCTTGCCGATGAGACCAGAAGTAAGACTCGTCGATTCGCTGCCATCAGTCAACGCTTCACAGCGCGTGTCATGTTGCTACATTTAACGATTATCATTCCTTGTGGTAACGTTTACCGTGGATGGTCATACCATTACCATGTCTTCATCGACACTGATGATCGTCGGAAATGCATTGTCTGTAGAACTTTGCCTCTGGATAGGTTTCTTTCTTACGAGTCCATCTATTGATAAGATAAAAAAAACAAAAAAAAAAAAAAAATATAACGAAATATATATCAACTACAAAATAAAATTAAACATATAAATAAAATAACCTTGAACGCTTAAGCATAAAAATTTACCGGCGGAAGATGGAAGAAGATCATCAAGAGATCCATCATCCAAATCCGTAGCAGATAGAAGTAGGTCATCATCCGAAGAAGCTCTTGTTAGGCTGGGAAGAGTTGAAGTTAGTAGGGCCTTTTCCTTTTGGATTTCTTGTATATGGTCGACGAGAAGCGCCTCTTCTTCGTCCCCTCGATCTCTGTCTCGATCTGCGGTAGCGCCTCTAGCGGTTACGATTGGAGTTGCCGTGTTTAATTCTTCTGGACTAAAGATTTTGGAAGATCGTAAACTGGATAAACGATGAGTCGCTGTGTGACAAGCGGATTCGAGTGTATTTATATCGGCTAAAGTTGCTCGTACGACTCTCAATTTTTCTTGTACGATCGTTTCGACGCAACAGGTTTGCCTGCCAACATCTTGCAACGAATCTTGCGCAGGCAGCGTTCTGTTCGTTCTCAGAATACATGGTGCGAAGACTATTGCTAAAGCCGATGGAGACATTCGATTGTCGACCTCGTGAAGTGCTACTCTGGCTAAATGAACGATTAATCGTTCCATTAGATCGAAATTCGGTTTTGGTAGTTTTTTCAAAATGGCGAATAGGGTGCTAATTCGATCCCGCGGATCCGTCAAATTCGCAGCGTGCAGAAAATCATCGTAATACTCAAAAGTGAGCAAAGGTTCAGGCATATCACGAAAGAAACTTTTCAATACTGCTGCAAGCACGTGTACTTGATAATTCTCGAAATCCACTCCTTCGAGATCACCTTCGTCCATTTTTAATTTCAATTCTTTCACTTTAGAACTGACACCGCTTTTTCGATATATACCTTCCGTATAAAGACCATGCATTTCTATAGTCGTGATTAGCCGATCTACCACTATCGGTACTTTACCGTCACCACAATCTAATTTATATAACGGTACACCAAATACCTTGTGTGAATTCATTTCGTGTAAAGCTTCTTTTCCACATTCCGCCGATGCTTTCATATAACATTTTTTGTGGCACGTTAACTTACAATCTGAGTACAAAAATAAATATATGTATGAATAATAATTATTAAGAAAGAAAATAAATTAAGAAAAAATATACTTACTCTGACAGACGAGTCCTCGTTCAATAGGCCACATAAAGAATGACGTACACACTTCACAGGCTGTAGGTATATTTATAATAGTTAATTGGAACATATGATTACCATGTCGTGTTGGTTCCTCGTGTTTCCGTTTCTTTTCCTTCTTACGCTTGCTTTTACTCTGTTTCTCCGGTGCTTCTGTTTTGACTAGCGTCATAAATTCGTTCATAAATCCTCTAAACGCGTTAACTCCCATCGTCACGGGAAAATCTTCACTGGTATTTTCTTGTTTGCAGACTGTTTCCATTACGTGTAAAAAGTTCGCTATTAGATCAGTGTATTTGATATTGCCCTCGACGCCTTGCTGAATAGCAACGCTATAAGTAATCACAAGATCGTCTTTAAATTTACGTAAAGCCTGTTTGAATACGCGATCAACTTCGCTGGGTTTTCTGCCTTCTTCTTGGCCTTCCATTATGTATATTTTTTTGGTAATGAAATCCTGCATAAGAGCTAATTCCTTTGCATCGGATATAATTTTATCGGTACTATCAGAGAAAACCGATGTACCGGTTAAACTGAATTTCGATGCCACTACTTGTTTCGAAGCGTCGTAAGGTGTTCTTGGTGGTTTCCTATTTTTTCGTCTGTTTGGAGTATTCGCTAATATACAGGGCATTTTAAGTACTCCGCCATTCTGAATACATTTCACGTGATACAACTGTTTACAGTCGATACATTTGTACCCTTGTGTAACAAACGCATCCATTTTTTCATGACAACAAACGCATACATCGTCTTTGGCAAATCTTGCTACTTTCCTAAAACAATGGCCGGCTAATGTAAAAAGATTGCCTTTCCATTCTAAAAGATCCATTCCAGGTGCAAGTTTTAAATCATTGGGACTCGTATCAGTTCCAGGTTTTTCTTCGCTAAGTCCTGATATTTTAGTTGCTGGATCCGAATTTCTTCTTCTTAACTCTAACGTTGTTATAGCATTGGATCTTAAACGTTTACCTGGTTGTTGCGTTTTCGATGTTCCTTCATTTTTGTTCATAGGCCAATCTGCTACTGATCTCGAAGATGTTTCATGCGGACTATCTTTTCGAGTTCGCACATTTGTTGATTTATGTAGATCACTTTCCTTAATCGTACCCAGAAATTTTGCTTCTCCACTATTCGTTTCCGATACGCTCTCACCCATGGATCGACATTGAACTTCTCGAGTAGGTCGATTCCGTCTAGCGCTTCTGACAGGCACATCAGGTTCGCATTTTTCTTTTGATCTCAAATTTTTCTCCTTAGAGGAAGTTCCTTTTAACAAAGGACTTTTTAAAACATTTTCATCGGCATCTAATTTCATAGATGTATCTCCTTCTGAATTTTGTCTTCTTAAGTAACTAAAATCTTTGATTTCTTTACTATGAACATAAGCGTGATCGCGTCTAATGGGTGAAGCTGGAATATTTTCTATTCGCTCATTCGGTACACTATTATCACTTAATCGACGCTGTTCTCGAGTTGACGAAGATTCTATATGAACAAAACGATCACTATCTAATTTCACGTTATAATTTGCTGCTTCGTTTGGCTTTTCTTGCGTTTGTTCGAATAAGTTATCTGCTAAACTTTTATATTGGGATACATTTGGAGAACGCGTTAACGTTGATTTTTGTGGACCAGACATTAAATATTCGCTATAATTAATGGACGAAAAGTCTGGTCTTCGACGCCAGACATCAGAATTTGGACTATGTGTTAAGCTTACATTAGATTGATGATATGAAACTTCTCGTGGACTTGAAAATGATGGAGTGGTGTTAAAGATAGGTGGGGCACTTTGCACAGTACTTGGAATTTCTATATCAGTCTCTCCATCGCTATATCCTGTCGACGAACTGTCTGCTCGTTTATTAACAGACGGCAATCGGCTTAAAGCATTTACTAAATTTGTGTTTGTTGCAATTATTGAAGATTGATCACTACGTTTCGTTCTAGTGCTTGGTATCGGTTTACTGTAAGAATTGTCTTGAGATTCAGAACTATTAACGCTCATTTGAGATTCATAACTCCTTAAACTAGTCAAACTTTCTAAACTGCTTTTACGCTCATTAAATTCATCCGAAGGAAAAGAATCCGTATTTCTTAAGATTGCAGGTTCATGTAATATTCTTGTATTTGGTGTATTTGGAGTAACTTTACGCTTCGAATATGATATACTTGTGTCAATTGGATTATCTCGTAACACGTTTTCCATTCTACAATTAACATATATTATTGTTATATAATCAATGATTTTTATATGAAAGAACAAATATTTAATTACCTCGCTGATGTAAAACGATTTTGAGATTCTGTCTTGCGAACCGTATTAAATTCTAACATTCCATGATCCATGAGTGACCTGTATTAGAGAGAAATATTAATAATATATTTCTAATTATTTATATTTTTAATTATTATAATATATATTATTATAATTTTTTAATATCGTCTCAGCAATTACTTACTCTTCACTATTTCTGAGCTTAGAATACACCTTGTTGTTGTCATGTACTAGTTCTCCTTGATTTTGAATTTCTTTATATTCTCTAATTTCTTCAATAGGTAATTTTTTTCGTTTCTTTAATTCTGCAAAAGCTTTTCTTGCTCTGTTACCTCGAACATGGGCTTGAAAAGTAATTACACATGATTTCAGTTTTTTATACCAACTATGTTGTTTATATGCTCTCCAAGTAGATTGAATATGAATGGAAGCCTCAATTCTAGCTCGTAGAGAATGCGCATGTCTTTGAGCCATAATCATTCTCCAAAATGACTGTATTTGCACAACTGCATTTTTCAATCTAAGGAATTTTCTTCTTTCCAAACAAGCACGAAACCATTTTTGTATAGTTGTAATACTTGTAATAATTTGTTGATGTAATTCGATATCTAATTTAATTTTTTCTGATTCCCGAAGGAATACTTTAGTTGTTCCAAGTTGATAATTATCTCTATTTAAATTTAATGTCAATAAAAAATCTCTAACATCAGACTGAGAACTTAACAAACCTTTAGGCAATAACATTCTATATAATTGAATAAATTCTTCGTAAGTTAATCTAACATTAAATCCAGCTTGTCTTATTCTGACTGTTTCTAACATTCCTGTATATCTTAATTGTCGTTGCACCGTTTCCTCGTCAAATTCATTTGGTACTTTATTAGCATTGCTTTTAATACATCTAATGAAGAAAGGATTTGCTTGATTTAAAGTATCCATAAGACTATGCAGACTTTGTTGAAATTGTGCTGATACTGTCATAGGTTGTTTTCTTGCTTTTCCAGGTCCTGTACCATAACTCTGTGTTCTTCCAGCAAGTGTTTTTACAGTTTGTAGATTTTTTAAACCCTTCTTACCACGTTCTCTTGGTCGAAATGATTTATTTTTCCTGTAAAAGTTTTAAATTTCAATTTTTTAATATTAATAAATGTTTAAAAAAAATCCTTTTCCTATTTTTTTAAACTTCCTAATAAAATAAAATAACATATAAATTATTAAATTTCAATGAAAAAAACTTTATGTCATTATAATTATTTAATTATTTAATTTATTGATTTTTTTATTAATTAATCAAATTATTTTAAATAGAAAGTAAACACATAGAAAAACAGGAAAAGGAGAATTCTATAATGACACATATAACATTGCAAAAAGTAATAATTAATTATTACAAACGTATTATGAAATATAAATAGCAAACATTTAGCAGAATATCATTAGAATTTATATAACTAGATTATAATAACAAATATAATAAAGCATATGATATTAAAATTAATTGTATATAGAAATATATATATAGTATATTTACAGATTTAGAAATTTTTAATAATATACAAGAAATATAATCTGATTACTATACTAAATAAATGCATAATTAATATCAGTGTTAATGATAAGCAATTTGCATTCTTCATGAACTAAAAATTTTTTAAGTTAAAATTTGTATTTTTTATTTAGTATATAAATTTATATTTTGTGCAAAAATTTACGATTTATTAAATTCATAAAATCGTGCAATTTATTTGTGAGAAATTAATAAGAAAAAATGTTTTTAAAATTAAGTTTAATGCTAAAGGATTTTTTGAATTGAATGTGTATGCTATATTAAGCAACATATGATAAATTAGTCCATTTTTAATTTAAACATTAAATTAATAAACAAATATAAATACCATGTATATAATATTATATTCTATTTCTAACTCTATGGATTAATGGACTAATTTAAATATTAATTCAAAAAACAAAAGCTATTATTATGAAATTAACATGCATTAATTGTAACTAAGATTATGAGCAAATAAATCAAATGTGATGACTAAAGACGTCTGAGGATAATGATCGTGAATATTATGATATATAAAATGATTTTAATGATTTCTAAAAGATGTATGATAACTCCATAAAATAATGAATACTTGTAGGAAGCTGTATAACTGCATGGGAAGACCATTAATGTCCTATTGAAATACTATTACCTATGCAAGAAAATCCTTCACCCAAAATTACTATAGAGCACACACTACCTTTATTGTAGAGCAGTGAGATTTTATAGCTTAAATTACAATGTTATGGAATATTAAATAGCTGTTTACATACATGACTATTTGATTAGCGCGTTCCATGACATTTGCTTCGTCTTTTGGAAGCACCCTCTCTAGCGGACTATGAGTATCTCGCCTGAGTTTATTATTACTATGAGGGTGGTCTTCCCTGCCTCTTATTAAATAACCCTTCATCGTGGTTACATTTGATGAGTGTTGCGTTTGATTAATGTTTCGAAATTGTGGCCACGACAATCGGTTGTTGTTTACATTATCGTTGTTTTCGAGTTGTATAGAAGATAATGTGGTAGTGGGTATAGTTGATGGTATACAGACACTGCGCTGCTTCTGATAGCTTGGTGGACGATTATGTTTGTGCGAACTGAAAAAGTCTCTCATGCTTAGTTTTTCTTTTTTGGTAGTTTTATGTAACTAAATAATACTTAAACCATTCGGTATCAACATACAATTTAAATTTTTAACTTTGGTTATTAAAAATTTTAGAGAAAAAATGATTTTTCTGAGAATCTATTTCATGAATGATTTGAATGAAACAATGTGAATTTTAATGATTGATATGAATTGTATAAATAAAAAATTATTGTTGAATTATTAATCATGCTTAAGAATAGCAAGAAAATTAATATATTTTAATAAATAACAGGATGTAACTATATTGCAAAAGTTATGAAGATTGCACTCTAATTACACTTAATACAAAAAGTGCATACAAAAAACTCTAAACAATATTTTTTATAAACAAGATTGGAAAAAGTTATATGGATTTACAAATTATTTATAATTTATTTCTAGTTATTGTTACAAATTCAATAAAATTTGAATTCAAATGTAAAATTTAATATAATATAAAGATAAAAGTAATGATAAGCATTGTAAATCCATAAGACATTTTTGCATAAAAAAATGTAATATTTGCCAAAATGACACATACAGTGGATCAAAAGACCACTTACGCGATTCGGTTAATAGTTAGATTGACGGTCGACAACGTCACAAGATGGCTACAGGGACAAAAGACATGTGGCCAATGTAAATATAATTAACGTTTGCTTCAATTATAAACACATAGGAATTTCTTCAGCTTGATGCAAATATTATTAACGCACAACGTAGATTTATACTTTGTAGGGTGATATAATATGCAGATAAAACATATTCAAAAAACAAGCGCAATAACATTGCCATTTGTTTATCACGATCATTATTATATAACTAATAAATATTGCTCTATATTATGAGTATACAAGCACTCAAATATTTTTGAGTCACCCTTTACGAAAGTAAAAATGATATACAATTTAAACAGAAAAATTGTGTATACCTTATCAAATTCTCGTTCGGTGTCCTATATCTATTTTGTATAGACGTTTTTGTACCATCAGCTAAAATAAAAAAATATTTTTGCGTTATTATTATAAAGAAATTATAAACAAATTATAAGAGAAGGGAATGATAATAAAAAAAAAAAATCCATGAAAAATAAGAATATTATACCTCGACCATGTCTATGAGCTCGACCTGCTTCTTGAAAAGCAAAATGAGCACGAAAAAATGCTCGAAGTATCGCCCATCTAAATACAGCAACTGGATCTGCACCCACTAATTCTCGAACAAAAGCAAGAGAAGAATTTTTCAATACCCCAACAACACCATCAGGTCGCATTAAATCCAGATTTTTTTCTCTCATATTAGCAGCTTGATACTTAACAGCTCCTGCATAATGCCGTACAACAAAAGCTGCTTCGCGTCGTTGTGGCGCTTCATAAAATAGATTGTCTTTATGCACTGAATTAAATTTTTGTAGCAGTGTCTCATTCGTTGCACCCGGAAAGCTGTCAAAAATATTTTTAATTTAATAAAACTTGAATATTAAAAAAAAAAAAAAAAAAGAAAAAAAAAAATAAAATAAAATAAAATAAAATAAAATAAATGCAAAATACTAACTTGCACTGATCGTCTAAGAGACAAAGAAGACCATTCGGTTTTCCTTCTATTAAATTTAAACAACCTGAATTATCACTGTATCCTATATCTGTCCATCTAATCCCCTGTTTTCTGTACTCTCGTTGTTCATATTGAAAAACATGCTGATTGAAATAGTGTTGTAATTGTTCGTTTGCATAATTTATACATAATTGCTCAAAGCTATTGCACATTTTAAAATCCTCAAAACCAAAAATATCTAGTACACCTATGCTATTACCTTGATGATCTCTAAGGGTATCTTTCTTAGAAAGCAAAGCATGATTCACCTATTAAAAACAAAATGTTATCTTATTTCATAATATATTTATAATATTTATTATTAATAAAATTATTATTAATAAGATGATATTTTACCTGAAGTACAATCCAATCAAATAAAGCTCCATACAGACATTTAGCCATAGCATCTCTTGCTGCAATTGCTTCTGGAAGTCTATAGTTAATGACTAATGTTTCTCCTGAAGCTCTTGCACGTTTGGCAGTAAGTGCAGCCAAAAGAGTTTCTTGTTTTACTCTAAGTAATTCAGATATCAATGCAACCACTTCAGGATTTTTAACTCCTACAGCTTCATCATGATGATGATAAGATTTTTTAGGCTGAAACTCCACATTACCTATGATGAACAATGAGATATGCTTAGTTAATGAGACAAAAATTCACTAAAATAAATTGATTACAAATTATTAATTACCAAGTAAAAGAACAGCTGATAGAACTGCAAACAATCGTCTCTGCTTTTCTGGCGTAAATCCGACCATTTCCATAGATTGTTTCAGTCTTGAGAATTCATGTCGTTCATCAACATTTTCTAATCCATAACAACCACTTTTATTTAAATAGTTATAACGATCACAACTTTCTAAATGCAGAAGTTGCTTTTCTTGTTCACTTGCTCCAGCCAAAAGATAATAAAATACATGATAATTTCTTTCATTTCTGCCTTGAGAAACTATTCTTGATTTTTCCAAAAGATACTTTTGTACAACCGCCCTAAAAATAATTTTAATAATACAAATAAATATAAAAATATAATATAATTTTTACAATTTATATACCTATATAAAAATCTTACCCATGCACCATTCCATTTTCTTTATAATTCACTTGGATAAATTTGCCAAAACGACTACTATTATTGTTATGTGCAGTTTTTGCATTTCCAAATGCTTCCAGTACTGGACCAGCACTGAGTATTGTCTGTTCAACACCACTACCATGAGAACCTTTTTGACTTAAAGCTGTCAAATGATGTAATAAAAAATTTGTTGATTCTGTTTTACCAGATCCACTTTCACCACTAATAACAATACACTGATTTCTTTTTTCTTTAAGCATACAATGATAAGCTGCATCAGCTATGGCAAATATATGCGGAGGTATATCTGGCCCCAATCTTCTATTTTGATAGAGTTTTACATATTTTGGATTGTAAATAGGATAAAATTTAAATGGATTCAATGCAATTAATATACTGCCCACATATGTATATATGTTTCCAGCTAAAAACCTAGCCCGAAGGTTGTCTAATAGAGTTTGCTCATTAAGATCTGGAAGTTGACATAGATCTGGATACTCTTTATCTCGTGGTTGATATAGGAATCTATTAAAATAGTCCTTGAGAAGCTGTGGATCCATGGGAAACCTACTATCTGACCATAAATAATCTGGTTGTTTTTTCCTCAAGTAAAACCTAAAAATAAAATTTTAGAATTCTTCTTAATCTTATAATTTATTTATATTTTAAAATAATTTATTTTTTTAAAATAAATTTCTGATATTTTAAATAAATTTTTTACCTATAATATTCTTGTTGTGCTGCATTTTTGGGCCATAATAACATAAGTGCTACTGGACACTCAGATGGCCCAAGTCTTCTTTCTTTACATTCTTGCCCAACAGAGTTTCCTACTACTTCTGCTAATTCATAAGCATTAGAAACAGATGCATCAACTAATCCAAGTCTTTCTATAATACATTCCACTATTTCAGCTGATGAAGTTTGTTTTGTAGCTTTAATTGAAAGTGCTTCATATTCTGGGCTCCACTCACCCACAAATACTTGCACTACTCCAGAGCCACAACTGTCCATTTTTTAACCCTATATAACAAAATAAAATATTTAATCTTAAACTAATTTATATATATATATATATATATATATAAAAACACACACACACACACAAATTTCATTATATTCATATGAAATTATACCTTGTTTTATATAGGGTTAACAAATTTGTCCTCTATCATCCAGACAAAACTTCAAATGTATTGTTTCTTCTTCTTCTTTCTGTTTTTCAATTATGTACAACCACTGATGTAAACGTTTAAAATAACTTTTATACATTTTGTTTAAAAATAATCACTATAACAGCACTCACTGATTTTATGATTTATTTACAGATACAGTTTACATTAATTTCAATTTGTCAAATGCACTCAAAATTATTCAATATTTATAAACTAAAAAACCTTATTTATATACATATATATCATGTCAAATTTTAATCATGAATTAGTTCAACAAAATAAAAATTTGAGAATATCATTTTTTTTTCATCTCAATATATGATATAAGAAAATAATTAAAGTAGTTCTAAACTTTTCTTGAAGCTTTCATTTAAATATATCATTTTATTTGATAGGACATAGAATATTCTGACTATAGATTAATATATTCTTTTTTCTTTTTGTATAATAAAATAGAATCATTAAATTTTATTGTTTTCTTTCTGTTTTAAATTTATACATTCAGTCAAATTTATAGATTTTTGTTTTGTTCTTTAATAATTAAAGAGTATTTTGAATTTATAGGATAATGTGTTTAACTCAGATATCATTTATTTAACACTGAATGTCCAACAAAACCTTTCTGACAGCCATTATATTTTATCATAAGATTCACTATATAGTTGAAAAGAGTGTAGGTGTGCTATTGTTGGCAGGCAGTAACTCAGTATCTCCACTGAGACAATAATCCAAGGTTTTCAATGTTTTGTAAACATCCTCGTACCATTTGAGTATTTTAATACACTTATTGCAGAAGATTACAGATATATTTGCATTTGTATTATAAAACTTTTGTGCGTTATGGAAGTATCTTATCTGGAAAAAAAAACATGTATGACACATAAATATTTTTAATTAACTTTTTGCATTTAATGCATTGTATAAACAATGTCATTGTTGCATTGCTCAATTATATAAATTTATTTGATTCATATAATTATTTAATTGTTATATTCTTAATGTAAGATTAATAATACTTTGTTATCTTTTTAAATTTAAATATATATACACATATTTTATCAGATTCACGTTAAATGTCAAATTTACAAAAAATTATGATTCTAGTTAATAATTCTAACCTTAAAATAAAAAAATGAAAATATATCTTTTTATTATTTTAAAATTTTATTTACTTTTTTTTATTTTTTCTCTGTGAATTTATATTAGTCGAATTTAAAAATATCTCCCTAAATTTTCTTCGTCATTGCCGGTAATTTTTCAATTAAACAATACAGGATTCATCTCAATATCAAAAAGAAACAATATTTAATATAATTCTAAATAATCTCGAGTGAACAGTAATCGTAACACATCGATCATTCGTTGGATACACAAAGGATTGCGAAAAACGACATACGTTCCCGAGATACCGATTGCCTCGGACTTGACGGCTGACATTCGCAAGAAAACCGTCTTCCGATGCCGATTGGCGGGTCATGGACCATACCACCAATCAGCAACGATCTGTGAGTGTGAACGTCAACAGAGTAAACCGGGCTTAAAGTCATCAAGAATTTCTTGTTCAGGCATGACACTTACTAGTTGTTACATATCATCGTCAAAGAATGTAATGAAAACATACAAGCCTACTCAAATAAACTATTTTTGTTACCTCTGTTACTGATAACAAGATGCTCAGTGTGACACATTCTTATAAATTATCAAAACTCTCGCGCGCGCATTCTTGGACATGCTTCCAAAAACTTGAAATTTTACTGTAAATGCACTGCCGTCTGTTCACAACTTTCAGTTTTCTTCCGTCTTGCTCATACATTCAAAATATATTCTCTTTCTTCATACACTGTTACAAAAACGTATTATCGAGAGAACGATATGTACAGCTGTGGTTCTCGCGTACTTGATATACACTGTTCTTCTGTTTTCTCGCACTTGGAGAATACACGTACAATACGGGCGGATTGACACTTCAGTAAACAAGATCTACTGTCACCGATACTTTTGTGTTAGTTCAGTCGTCGTCGATTCTACTGGAAATTACACTAATATTCGTGCTTAATCGTGTTCTTAAATTGATAATACCGATGACACGAATTATGAGCGCTTGCCCAGTTTATCGTCCTTCGTCTCCTCTCGGGATCCTGCGTCCCAATACGTCCACCATTTCGATTTTTCCGATCACATGGTACACAGCATCGATTTTGATTGGCTTATTCTATGTGACCACGTGACTGATTGCTAAAGTACAAACTTCCATTGAGAGAAAAGTGCTTTTAGAGCTATCTGTTAATCATTTCGTGAAACATGTCACATATACATGTATAATATTTCATATATTTAATAAGCAAAAAATTAAAACGATATTTTCAATATTTAAAATATAAAACATAAAATTATGTAATTAATTTCAGAAGATTTAAATAATTTATAATAAAAAGTAAAATAAAAGTTTTTAGAAATTAATATTTGTTGAAATAAAGTACATAAATGAAATATATATTCTTAATATATTTATATTTTATTTAATAAATTATAATATAGACGAAATATAAGATAGATGTGACATAAAATATTTTTTTCGTGAAAGAAAAAAATTCAAAAGTCACCTGATCCTTTACTATTTTTGTATCACATGCCATATTATCGATTCAGTATAGAAAATACTTGTAGCGTTAATAGTTATATTAGAATTAAAACCTAATTTTAAAAAGAACTATAAATAAGATAATAAACATTTTATTTCAATTTTTTATAAAACATATAAATTTTTATTATAGAAAATAAAAAAATCTATATTTTTCGACTTAATCTTCGTACAACAAATATGATAAAAATGCATTCTTATATTTAGTCTATAATTAATGTCTATAATATTAGTTTTATCTATTCTCAAAAGATGGCGGTGAAAGTCATTTTTTATCTACTATTTGCTGTTCTTGTATATTTATATTTATCTATAATACTTAAGAGATGGCACTAGTTTCACAATTTTTGATCATTTATATTTATCTATAATACTCAAAAGATGGCACTACTTTCACAATTTTTGATCATTTATATTTATCTATAACACTCAAGAGATGGCACTAGTTTCACAATTTTTGATCATTTATATTATCTATAATACTCAAGAGATGGCACTAGTTTCACAATTTTTGATCATTTATATTTATCTATAATACTCAAGAGATGGCACTAGTTTCACAATTTTTGATCAATCTCTATCGTTTCTCACTATTTTTTCTTTTTATCTATACTTCTTCTGTAAAATTTATACGTTCTAAACACACAGTAAAGATGTGATTATTTATTTTATAATTTTTTTTTGCTTAATCTATTAATTAAAAATTTTAATAGGATCTATTCAAATCAATTTTCCCGTAAGTATCTATATTTTGTATTTTTTTTCATATATCGCAGAAAGAATATACATGTACGTAAATTCAATCAAAAGTTTTTTGCAAGTATTTCTGAAATTAAGGTTAACCATTATTATATAAAAAAAAAAATTAATTAAAATTTTAATTTTTAGCATATTTAAAAATTATCGAAATCAATAAAGATACGTGTTTTCAACAATTTTTTCTTGTAAAGATTATTTTGATTTAAATTATAAAAAAACTCTTATATAAAAAAAAAGAATGAAAAATACAAGAAAAAACTTTTGTAATGAATTTTATAATAAAATCAAACTTATTTTGTCAATAGTATATCAAAAATTCTTTCGTGTTTGCGTTGATTCATCTCATTCTCACTTTTTTTAATTTATTCCTTCAATTTTTTCTTTCAATCAATCATTTCAAATATTCTTAGCACGTATCATATATTTAAAATTTTCAATAAAAAATTAATTTCATAATGAATATTATGATAAGATAAAATTATCATTTGTTCCGAAATATTATATTTATGAAATCTTGAAAATGTTTTTAGTAAAGATTAGACAGCTTATTATATGTGAACAAATGAATATTGAATCGTAACAATGCAAAAAAAAAGTTAATTTTTGTCATGTTTATCAAGTATATGAAATTAAAATATATGAAACGTTCAATCAATGAAAACTTTAAATTTGTTAATAATCTATGCAATATATTATATTACGTCATTTCTGCATTAGTTTCTTTTTAACCTCCATGTCATATTCATTTTGAAAAAAATTTCGAATAACATTATATATTTTAAACAAAATTATTAAATAGATGTAATTTCATTAATGCTATAAATGAAATATTATTTTATTATAATCTTAACTACTTTTTATCATAAAAATTATTATAATGATACATGATGTAGTATTTGAACTGACATAAACTATGACATCAGTCTACGAAATATGCAATTTTGAATTTTGCTCAATAGAACTGATTTTCTAACTACAGTTTCTCAGTTGCATTATGCATTTCCTTTCTTTTATATTATACAATGTACGTATGTATTTCGTTATTGTTACAAAGTTATCTCGTTATTTCGCACCATCGTGTCATCATACATAATATATATGTGTATGTACAGAATATGGTACACCATTATCAGTTATCCGTGATTTGTGCTGAATTTACTATAGGATAAGCTTAAAGATAGTTATATATAATTAATGTGCATGAAGTTTCCTTGACGTATGCATGCCAATAGTATAATAAAAAATTAATTTATAGGTAACAAATTATTAATAAAAAATATAATAAATATACATTTATTACAAAAATATTTCATTTTTTTGAATTTAGTAATCGTTCATATCTTTTTTAAAATATTACTTTGTTTAGACAATTAAAATTTGTATATGCACAATGTAAATCATTAAAAATGTGATTTTTTAGATATTTCTATACATATAAAAATAATTGCTTGATAACTTTTATTGTTTAAAATAACAAAGATATTTTGTATAGTAATAAATCTTTTATTTTGAGGATAATTCAATGTCGATCAATGATGGATAGACGTCATAGTTAGTGACTGATTCTCTCATTGCGATAGATATCTAGGAATATAGTAATGGAATGTAATACATATACAATTAATGGATGATGTGTAACATAGAATTTCGATATTGGCGTTCTCTTCGTGTCTACATTAACGAAACTAACTGTCTCACTAATC